ATTGACTGTTCCACTTAGATGGAAATGCGCTTCGTCACTCCATAGAATTTTCCACGGCCATGATGCATCCACTTCAACTCTAGCCAGGAATGTCAATGCAAAGGTCAGTCGCTTCTCCCTGTCGTTGGCCATCAACTGCTGATTGTGACGAATTTTGTACGGGAAAAAATGCACCACTTTTCTCAGTACATTCCTCACTGTGCTGTAGGGAACACCCAAATGTCGTGATACTGCACAGGCACTACTACAGCCTATGACGTTATCCATTGATTGATCAACAATAGCGGTGGCAACATCTTCAACGACATCTGAACGGGTCGATTTGCGTCCTCGACCCGGTTGAACACCAAGATGTCCAGTTTTCTCGAATCGAGCGATCATTCTCTTTAGAGCTTGTGGAAGTAATGGTCCTTTGCGTAAATTTTTAAGTCGGCGAAACTCTCGAAGTGCAGCTGCAGCATTTCCTTTGCTTTCATAAAACAGCTTCACAAGCAAAGCGCGTTCTGGCAGCGTGACAGCCATCAATGATAAGAATGGCATTTTCCCAGTTTCATCCCTTTTTATACCAAGAACATAGCTGCAAACCAAGGGTTTATGCAAATTTTTGTGCTTACAGGGCGAAATTTCAATTACAATTACAGTTTAAGATTCTTTACTTTTTTATCTTCTTTTTTCATATCAGCAATAGAAATCAAAAAGGAAAATTACATATTGCATGTGTTTTGTTTTTGTTTTTTGTGATAATTCTTTCCTTTTTTCAGATTATCTGGTGTACAGCGCCATCTATCGGTGTTTCTAGAACTATTTTTTCGCGTAATCCGTTTCCCCATGTCTTTTGAATAGTATGTTCAACAATTTTGGAGCCTCTACACTGAGTAGTTCGATGTATAGAGAGTTTAGAGTAGGGGTGTTTTAATTCTGATCACCTTGTATATAAAGGAAAAAAGCGACTCACTCACTCACTGACTAATCACGATATCTCCGGAACTTTTAAACCTACAGACTTGAAATTTGGTAGGTAGGTTCCCTTCATGAAGTAGACGTCAGCTAAGAACGGATTTTGCAAAGTTCGAACCCCGAGGGGCATTACGGGGGTTTAAGGGGCGTTATAGATAATTATTTACATTACTAAACTATTAAATGTACAGTCGTGAAACTTGGTACGCAGATTTCTATCATAAAGTAGAGATTCCCTACATAATGATTTTTACAAAAATCGACATCCAAGGGGCGTTGCGGGCGCTTAAGGGGCGTTATACATAATTATTTCCATTTTTAAACTATTAGACATACAGTCTTGAAATTTGATAAGCGGATTCCTTTCATAAAGTACAGATCCCCTACAGAATGGGTTTTGTCAAAATCGACTCCCAAGTGGCGTTGTAGAGAATTAAGTGGCGTTATAGGCAATTAACTCCTTTTTTAAACTATTAGACGTAAAATCTCGAAATTTAGTAAGCTGATTCCATTCATTGAGTAGAGATCCGCTATATGATGGGTTTTGTGAAAATCGTTTCCTAAGTGGCGTTGCGGGGACTTAAGGGGTGTTATACATAATTATTTCCATTTTTAAACTATTAGACGTACAATCTTGAAATTTGGTATATAAGCGGATTCCTTTAATAGAGTACAGTTCCGCTTTAAAATGGGTTTTGTCAAAATCGACTCCCAAGTGGCGTTGTAGAGTATTAATTGGCGTTATAGGCAATTAACTCCTTTTTTAAACTATTAGACGTAAAATCTCGAAATTTAGTAAGCTGATTCCATTCATTGAGTAGAGATCCGCTATACGATGGGTTTTGTGAAAATCGTTTCCTAAGTGGCTTGCGGGGACTTAAGGGGTGTTATACATAATTATTTCCACTATTTTAAGCTATTAGATGTACAGTCTTGAAATTTGATAAGCGGATTTCCTTTCATAGAGTACAGATCCCCTACAGAATGGGTTTGTGAAAATCGACCCCCAGTGGCTTGTTGTGGAGAATTACAGAAAGGGCGTTATAGGCATATGCAACTCCTTTTTAAACTATTAGACGTAAAATCTTGAAATTGAGTAAGCAGATTCCATTCACTGAGTAGAGATCTGCCATAAGATGGGTTTTGTGAATATCGTTTCCTAAGTGGCGTTGCGGGGGCTTAAGGGGCGTTATAAATAATTATTTCCAATTTTTAAACTATTAGATATACAGTCTTAAAATTTGGTAAGCGAATTCCTTTCATGGTGTAGAGATCTGGTACAAAATAGTTTTGGGGAAAATTGATCCCCAAGGGTCACTGAGGGGGATTAAGGGGCGTAATAGATAAATATTTCCGCTTTTTAGCTAATAGAACCACCTGCTTGAAAATTAGAAGGTATGTTCCGTTCATGGAATAAAGTTCCTTTTACAAAGATTTTTGCGAAAACGGACCCCAAAGGAGTGGGATTGCCAGGGATTAAGGCGTGTTATAGAAAAATTCCTGTTTTTGAATTTAACTCATTTACTTGAAATTTGTTGAGCACTTTTCTTTAGTTGAATAGAGTTCCACTAAGAATGGATTTTACGGAAATCAACTCCAGGGGGAAGTGGGGAGAGTTATTGGGCGTATAGATAGACCAAATTCCTGTTTTTGAACTGCTAAGACTATAATAATAAAATTTGGTTTGCATGCTTCTTTTGTTGAATTTGAATCCACTAAGAATGCTGTCAACGAGGTATTGATGATAAAAATTCCGTTTTTGCTCTGTTAGATTTAGACTTGTAATTTAGCACACATGTTTATTTTATGAAGTAGAGATGCATTGAAAGTTGCTTTGGTGGAAATGCACTTGATTATTAGGTTAAGTGAGCGAAAAAAATCTTTCTACTTCTATTTTAGATATAAATAGAAATTAGATATTATAATTTATGTTCTTTTTCTATCAAGAGGCGAGAGTGTAACAGCTATAAATATATTTTTCAATACAATCGAATTCTTAATGCTAGATATCAATAATTAATGTATATGTAAACAGTATACATATATACAACATCGTGAAATACCCAGTGAAGCGGTTGGGTAACGGCTAGTTCTAAAATATAATTTCTTTTCCTATTTCGCAGATAAACACTGTTAGATTTTTCTTATCTTTAGATACGTAATCAAATATTCTTATTTTCAGCTCCAACTTGTAGCATTCCAAGCATATTTATTTGCTTCAAACATAATAAAGGCGCGTATCACTAACAACAAACATTCTACATTAGTTTAGTAATTGGGTATCTCAAAAACAAAATACTTGGAAACTATCAATTAAGTATCCCTACAACAATGCAAACACGCGTTTACGATAATTCCAAAAGCACACACACCCCGACTAAGAGAAAAGTACATTTGTCTCTTCTTATTCTATCTGAGTTAAATTAGGTGGCAAACATACCCGCCAGCACTAAAACAAAATGTCATATCTCAGTAAAACGCCGATATCCTTAACAGAAACTGCTCCAGCACTTCCGTGGTACGTTTAAACAAGAAAACCCCAAACTCCCATGTAAGATATTGAACAATATCTCTCCACCTTTCACATTAGTGTCTCGCAAATAACAGTTAACTGCTCTCCTAACGCCTCATTAACAGACGATTTTCATACTATTCCTCCCCCCTCCCATCCCTAGGCAAAAGAGGAATTAAAAAGACTAACTTGTGCCTTTTCTATGGAGACAGCAGAACAAAGCGTTATTAGAGGTGCTTTTAAGGAATTTGATAAAGACTCGAATGGATGCTGTGTTAATTGACTTCTGCCCCTAGCTATTGTAAGTAAAGTTCGGTCATTCGCATGACTGGGTATCAATAGGGGAAGAGGGAGTGATTTTATGATTAATTTGGTGGGGGATGTTCTGGGATTTCTATTCTTTTATTTTTTGAGGGAGATACGAATGATCTAGTACTTGTCAAGTAATTTGAAATTAATGGGATGATATCCTTTTTTTAAGTTTTCGAATCACTTTTCAATTTGGAGATGGAGTAGAGGAGGTAAATGAAAAATTAGAATTGGAGGATAATGAAATTTGAACGTGAATTTTACTTGAAATCGATAATTAGTTGTGGAAGTCTTCCGTTTCAGAATGAATATCTATTACGAGTTAATTTTAGAACGGCTTTTCTAGTTCAACTCTTTTAGAAAATATAATTGGAATTCCGATTTGTGAAATTCGAGATTCAAATAATACGTTGCAAGGAATATGATTTTTACATGGTTTATTTTTAAAAATATGCTAAGCATTTAACGTATTTAGTTTCAACATAGGTTATTAACCCTTATAAATAATTATTAATTTAGTGAGCAATCATCATTAGAATTTGCTGCAGTCGAATTAAAAATTTATGTATTTTGTTTAGGCAAATAAAAATTGTTTTCAAAGAACAGTGCTTTTTACCTAATTTATGTAATAAAATTTAAAAGTATACAGTAACGTATAAAGTAACTCTAGTGTGTTATAGTTCATTTATAGTTTTATTATAAGAAAGACATTCGATACTTTGAAACTAATATATTTTACTGATATATTAACTGATGAAGCTATATATATCAGTTTATATCTAAAGTTTTTTTTTTTCTGAGATTGTTTTATTTATAACTGTTTTACAAAAACAGAGCAAGCTACTTTAGCAGACAGAAACATTTAATAATTAACAAAATTTAAGTAATAAAATAAAGGGTTTTGTCTAAATATATGTGAAACATATTTTTTATAAAGTTATTCAATTCCTACAATTAGTTTACACTCTCATATATATATATATATATATATATATATATATATATATATATATTGTTCAAATTTTCAATCGTTAATAAAAATACTTTTTATTCATCCAATCAAGCTCAAATACATTTTTTTAAACTTGTAGTGGATGACACTTGTTGTTAATGCAGTTATTTTCTAATATGAATTCATTAATTAAATTTAATTAATAAATAAATAGTAGCAAACAAAAATAATAGTCCAACACCATATATAAAAGGGAAACTTGTTCGTTTTGTCCCTGCAGTGTCTTGGATAACACGTTGGATTTCTAATCCAAGAGTCATTGGTTCGAATCCTATCTAGGATGGTCAAATTTCTGAGAATGTGATTTATGAATGAATAAATATTAAAAAAATAAAAATAGTTGTCCAATCCCATTTATATAAAGGAAAATCACTTTTTCTATTTTGCCACTTAAGGTTACACAGTACCCTAAAAAAGTTTTTTAGCATGTTTTGGTGGCCCATATCATAGAGATGCTTGCCACGAAATATTTCAGATCTGTTAGCAAATTAGTTTTTAAGATATTTGAAATTTTATGAGCTATGGTTTTGGTTTCGGATTCCTTTTAAATCATTTTTTTGCACTTAAGTTGAATTAATTAAAAATATTTTTGAGTTTTTTCTTTGAAATAGTTATTAATTCCAATTTTCATTACTAAAATCATTTCTGCGTGATTATGTTTTGAGTTTTTTGAGTGCTCATAATTAATAAATAAACATTAATTTCATGGCCAATTTTTGCTTTAAAAATAGTTTATATAACTTAAAAGCTTTATCATTAATTTTTCCTGTAGAGAAAATGCCATGGCAAATGCGTTCTGGGTTTCTGTGAGAAACAATATTTCGAAGAGATGGAACAATACTGAAAATGATGGATCTAAGAATCAGTCCTCAGCTGATTCTGAAATTAGACTTCCGAATACAAGTATTCCGAATTCAAATGCTGCTGATATAACTGAATATTTCCTTGATATATACCAAACTACATTATACTAAACATATTGTAGTACTATATTTTAGTATTTTAAAGTCGTACGACAAGAGCTAAAACTTCCTAAACTGCCCCAATTTAAAACTGAAAAAAATTAAATTTTATGAGCAAACCTGAATATTTTTAGCTTAACTTAGTATCATTATTATTTTGTACATAAATGTTTCGTGTTTCAAAACTTTTGTGAAATATTAGGTTAAGATAAAGCTGAATAAACTGACGTCTTAACAAATGCTATCAATATTATGCAAAAATATATTTTGAATTAATAATATAATTTTCAGTCATATTTAATAAAAATAGAGTTTTAATGTAGAACATACATTGGAAAATAACATATTAAAAAATTAGAGTTTTACGGGCAATATAAGTTTTTGTTTTATGACTTTACAAACTTTAAATGCGTTTTTCTCAGATTTTTAATTTTGAAGGTATAAGTGTTTTCTAATCCCTAAGGCTTTTTCCTGTTCAAGATTGAGCCTTGAATTTTTTTGTATATACTCCCAAATGTATGTTCTATAAAAGTTAGTATGGATTTAGGGCTGTGAGAACTCTAGTAATTTTTCTAAAAAATGCTAAAGTTAATATTTTAAAAAATTTTCGTGTTTTTTCCAGGTTTTTCTGGAAAAATAATTATTTAAAATCAACAAGGGAATAGATTTTTCAAATCCATACTAAATATTGTTTTTAATAATCTAAGAATCATAAATAACTTAAAATTACTAAAAATTTTTAAAATTTGAGTATTTTATAAGAGTTTGAAGAAACTTCAAAAATCCCTAATTTTTTAAAATTGTAAAATAATGGTTGGTCAAACTGACTTTTTGCTTACAGAATCAGCTTAATAATATAATCTAAATATAAAACATCAATTATTTTTACTGTAACTGTCTCCAAAAAAAATTTTTTTAAAAAGGGTACCGTGTAGTCTTAATAATTTTGATTCTGTCGTATGCATGCATATATTTATATTAATTTTAATTATTAAAGGAAAAGTAACTACAATAAATTTTTTCTTTGTTGACCTAAGTAGGAATTGACTTTATTTTTTTTAAAACATATTACACTTATTTTTTTCAGCAAGTTGATGCATTGTATAAACTAATCAATAGAATTTATATCATAACAAATAGCAAAAATAATTTTTTAGGAAAAGAACCATTACTCAATTATAATTTAGCACTGTTAAAGAAAAAGTTAATAATATAATAGCAACAATAAAGTAAACAGTAATATTTACTTTCCGCATTACATCATTCTCTTCATGTTCGAAACCAAAAAATCCAAAATAGCCTCGTTGAAAACTGATTGGTCTGTAAGGCACATACTCCAGTTTTGATTACAAACCCTCCGAATCAAGCACACTACACAAACCAACTACGTTACCGATATGCCAATCCACTTCCTCTTTCCAAAAGAAAACATTGATCAGTCCCCTGACAACATCGAAAAGAAGGGTTTTCGTCTCCCTTCTTCTTTGCAATGGAAGATAAGAACATGCAAAACGAAGGCAAAGAGAAAGAAGCCCCAGCGAAAAGAAACAAAACTACTTACCCATGTCCGAAACGTCCATAGCATCTGCTGAAGCATGTGTTCAGCATTACAGCGTTTTTGTTTTTGTCCCTACACGTGGGGCTAGGTATCGAGCAGACGAAGCAGATGGTGGCGAACGACAAGGAGGTATTGGCTGGAATATTTTGACTCGATGCATGGAACGTTTGCTCAACGAACGTGGGTGGGGGAGAGTGGAATGGTTCGGCAGACATGGTGTTGATTATTTTTTTCATCTGATGTCTTTTTTTTAACCTTATATTTTACATACTTCTCGTATAATTCATAAAAAAAACACCACCGATTGCTAAGTTTCGTTTTACTTCTGAGATAGTTGTAGAAATAAGACCAAGAAAGAAGATAAAAAACTATTTATTTTGACTCTTCTCGTTAGTAGTTGCCATTCTTTCAAAAAGACGAGTGTAATTGAATGGTTTTGTGAATAAGATTATACAATACTGTGTCATAATTTTCCTTAAATTTAAGAATAATAATAAAATGCCTCATTATAGATATTTATAGTTTTTCTTCTTATTTTTATACTTCAAGAAATAAATTAAACGAACGTTTTTTTTTTAATTACTCATTAAAATAATTTGTCATTTGGGAAAATAATTTTAGATTCGTCTGCTAGTTTTATCTTTAAGATTTTATACGGTATTTTCAAACTATTATTTGCCCGGTAAAAAAATCGGTTTTTGAATCATTGAAAATAAATAAATTTTGAAAAATAAATCTCATTTTTTTTTAAATTGCATCAATTATCTTGACTTATTCATTCAAGAATAATCATATTTATTTTATTTTCAATCCATATATTTCTTCTGAAATTTGCCCTTAGCTAGTAATTTTCTTTAATTAAAATAAAATAATATAATACCACTTGCCAAGAAATTGAGGAAGCATTGCTTATAGCATATGAGTGGTATTCCAAAAGTTTTTCAATTTATCATATACATTTTTTTTCTTTTTTCATTTAATCACATGGATATTCCTTTATTTACAAAACTCGGTTCGTCTACCCTAGGACATATTCATAAAAAATTCAATGAAAAGTAATAATTAAGAAACGGAAGTCATATGTCATGCAATACGAACTAATTTTTGTTGAAAATACACCGTTAAATTTTTCGAAAGCACTATATTTTCAGCAAAAGCATTTAAAATGCTATATTATAGAAAAAAATTGATTACATAATGCTTTCTTCAGGAAGAAAAACCCTATTTAGAAAAGTTAAAATCACTTTGTGTCTTCTAATGGAAAAACGAGTTTTAATAACAATCTTTTTTTAAAGAACTCTTCTTTTAAAGTTTCCTTTGTAGTTATTTTCTAAATTTTAGATATTTGAACCTCAGAACCAAGTTACTTGTCCTTAAATTTAGTTGAATATAAAAAAAGTAGTTAATCTCTAATCAGGAAGCTCAACCGTACTAAAATTCTAAAAGCAACTTCCAGTAGATAGGCTTGTAAACTTATTGCAAATGACAATAATTTGTACTTAAGAAAAGAAAAATTAAAGTTATTACAATTATAAATTGATTACATTAGTTGCCCAGGGGTTTTTCTCTTTCGCTTTTTTACTAAGTTTTTTCGCAAAAAAATTGAACTTACATAATTAATATATTAATTATTTTCTTAAACAGTAAAGTGAATACACACATTTCTTGAACCATAGGTATCTAACAATAAGAATTTTGCAAATGCTACTAACTTTTATAATAACAAAGTATTCTTTCATTTCATTTCAATTTCATTTCTTCAACAAATCATTAAATTTGTAAACTGAACAGAAATGCATGCATTAATGTATTAATAAATAAGTTGATTAATAAAATGAAATTCTAAATCTTTTGCACTTTCCTTTTAGTAAAAGAACGTAAATATAATGATTTCATGCAATTCATATATTATTTAACATCTATTTGAACTTGTGAAATCATTAAACAAAAAAACATGAAAAACTTTAAATTTTAAAAACTTGCGTCTTTTTTTTTAACGTATTTTTAATAAAAATATCTGTTTTAGATTGAAGACTTTACGGCATCCAGTAGAATTATTAATTATTTCTGAAAAAAATTCTTTTTAAAACATTGTTTTGAACTCACAAAAGTATCTTAAAAGATTTGTATTCTTGAAAAACATTTTAAAACTGAACAAGAAAATCTTATAAATCATAACTTATATAATACAATGATGCGTTATTCTAAATAAATTTTTACTTCCTTCACACATAAAGTTAAAATTGCTTTTTCAAAGGCATTGCTATTTCAGTTCACTTCTGAAATCTTCTGAAGTGCCTACTAACACAAATCATGAAAATGCATTTGACCAAAACCGATTCGCGTACGATTTACGGTTATAGTGTTTATTATCGGATAATAAGAACCATTTTAAGAGGCATTTTAAATAAATCTATCCTCTAGTGGTAAGAACCCTGTACATCTTCTTGACGTACGACCTTAATCTCAACTCTACCTAACCTCATAAACAATTTCGGCTAAAAAAGCCATTCTAATATATTTTTTCACTGATACAGATAAGCTGTCTGCTAATAATAATCCCTTGTCATTGAGTACTCAGGTTACGATGGGTAACTTAGATGGAAAAAAGAGTAAGCTTTTTCGAGAAGGCTTTGTTTGACAAAGTTTGTCCATTTCCGACATCGACGCCAGCGCCATCATAGGATTACGAAGAAAAGTCAAAACTAGGAGAAAATTCTCTTTACCAAAATGAAGTGAAGTAATTTGAGCGTCATGGTGGTT